ATCTAGAGTTCTACGATGTAAGAAGTGGTAGTAAAGACTAGAGGAAAAAAATCAACAAGCTAGTGGAGATTAGAAGGGCATGCCAAAACTTGGTAAAGTTAAGTAGGTGAGATTTTATGAGGCTAAGAGCATGGCAAGGAAAGGCAAGACTAGGGTTTCTATGGGTCAGGCCAAGGATAAATACGACGATAAATGAAAAGCATGGGCAACTTCTGGAGCAATATGTGGTAACTAAGATTTCGAAAGTTGACATATTTTGAACTTTACAAGAATGAAGCCTAACTAATATTCTGAGTAATGAATTTCCAGTTCCAATTACTCCAAAAAGCCAAGTGTTAATGTGTTTAGTGAAGAGAAAGGCCTTGCAAGTCTTCTAAATTCACCTTGTACTCCCCCAAACTTCACCTAGTACTAACTAGTGAGTAGTGGCAGTGCTAATTTCATGTGATAAATAATTGAATCACCATTTATATCTAAATTTCTATCAAACAAATATCTGAGTAGCCTGATAGTGGATTAACTGTTGTTATGCATGATCATCAAAGAAGAATTTCACCAAATTTCAATTTATACACACCAACATTGTTCTCTAAACAACAGAGACAAGAAGAACAAAAAGAGGGCTAAAGTAAATCATTGAAAGCATAAAGACTCACCCGACGGCAGCAACAGGTGCTGATTCTTGGCAACCAGCCTATTAAGCCAGTCAACAACCTCCCTTCTGGAGCGCCATTTGGTGGCAGAGTTAACATTACAGACAGAGCCATAACGATCGACAAAAGCGTCGAAAACAACATAAATCATATGTCTGACACTTCTCTCAGTACCTTGAATAGCCAGTACAGAATCACCCACAGAATCATTAAGGTAATAATGAACTGTACGATTACCTTTCTCCTGTGAAATGATCCGTTCATCCCACGACAGAAATCCCTTCTCATCATTCGTCATCGTCTACAATTTCATGAAACATTCAATATCATTAAAACATCAATCATTTTCAAAAAGGCTAAAACCCCACCAACCCAGATAAAAATAATCAATAATCTGACAAAACCCACCAACCAAAGAAAGAGAAAAAGGGTACCTGAACAAGAAATGGTGAACAGCACGGCGGCGGAAGCGGCGGAGGAGAGAGAATTTAGGGGTGGAGAAAGAAGGAAGAAAAAAAGGGAAAATTGATGTGAATTGCCATTTCATTCAACACAAATGAATAAAGGTTGATGATTTGATGATGGAAATTCTGGGTTTTTTCTGGGCAAGTTGGGGAATTTCCGGCGATAGTAGCAGTAGCAGACAGGGGTTTTTGTTAGGAGAGGAGGCGGGTAACCTTAATTCTTGACTCTTGTGCTCATATCATATGTGTAACGCCTAAAATATAGAGATTTCATTAGTTTTTAACCTATATGACATCAGAGTGATCATACCAATGATTATTTTTCTTACCTTGTATATATATAAAAAAAAATTAAAAAAAAATATATACCGTACGTTTGTATTACATAAAACTTATGTACAATATAAGTATTTTTACATATGTCTTTAAAACTATTGCATTCTAAAGTTTTACGTCGTTAAATAATATGATGTATGGATATCTTTGAATTAAGGTGTTGAAGGGAACATGTTTTAGTAAATCTTAAATTGTATATCTTGTATTAACACGAGTGTCTTAAACTTGGCGTTTGAAAATATAACTCGATTTTACAAAGTAAGATTCGAATTTGTTAGTGAATCGAAGGTCATCGATTCATGAATCATGATCTTTTGTTGAGCTAAAAGCATTGTACAAGTATAAATGAAAAGTTATCTTCCATATACCAATTTCTTAATCTTTATATCAAGATAATTTATCAAGATGATTTATTATATATGTATATCTCCAAATTCAGCACACAAAACTCAACTACAATATCAAGTTTTAAATTGTATCCATTTAAACAATTTTCTACTTTATTTTTAATGTGACTGAGTTGATATGGACAATTATACATAGTATGTAGAACAACTTAATCTTAATAGCATGTTTTCTAAGATACGTGTACAATTAAATTAATGAATCTAAAGATATTTTAGTTAAGCATTAATTCGATTCCAAAAAATTACAGATAATTTTACTTACTTTAGAAAGTGATCCATCTCTAGTATCATTTCCTCGTTTCACTTTATACAACACATGCAATGCACGGACCAAAGGACTAGCTATATTGACCGACTTCTTACTTCCTCTGTTCTTTTATTTCACCATTTACTTTCTATGCGATCAAAAATTTAAAAGATTGATTTTATTTTATATTGTATAGATAAATACAACAGTATGATGTGAGATAGTATCATTTTATTGCAATTAGGGGTTGTTTAAATTCAATTAAGGCCCTGTTTGATTCACCTTAATTTTGCTGAACTGAACTTATTTTTATTGAACTGAACTTAATTTTACTGAACTGAAATTATTTTTACTGAACTTAAATTATATTTACTGAACTGAAATTACTTTTACTGATTTTCTATTATAATTCTTCTTTAAGAAAACTGAATTTTACTGAACTGAAATTATTTTTACTGAACTGAAATTAATTTTACTGTACTGAAATTAATTTTACTGAACTGAAATTATTTTTACTTAATATTATTTTTTTAAGGTGAAGAGAACAGGGCCTAAAGGAAAAAGGAATGAGCTCAACAAAGAGAAACAAGGTGAATGAAATGGAAAAGGCTTAAACTTATTATGTTAATTGTTTATAAACAAAGGAAACAAGTCACAATACCACCACTACACAACCCCACCTCTTTCCCACCTTCTCTAGCAACTAGCCAGCAGCCCCACCACCCAACCACCCTCGCCGCACCTCCCCTGCCCTTCCCCACCCCTCGAAAAGTTCTCCCTTCCCTTGAAAAACTTCCCCACCCTCCCAAAACCCTAGAAATCCCTCCCCTTTTACCATAAAACCATCGGCATCCCCTCCCCCACCCTCGAAACCCTAGTGTTTTACAGAGAGGGGGAGGGATTTTTGGGTTTTGTAGGGGTGGGGAAAGTTTTTAGGGGGAGGAGTAACGAGGTGGCTAGTGTGTATATATGGTGGTGTAGTGGTGGCTAAGGAAATGGAAAAACCTAGGAGGGGAGGCAGGGAATCAATATGGAAAATTTTGGGGATATGGGAAGGGTAGAGGGAATGGAAAAAAAAAAGGTTTTTCTAAGCTATACCCCTAAGGTATTCGAGTTTCTAAAAGTATACCCATACTTTTTCAAGTTTCTAAGTTGTGCCCCTCAACTCACTACCATTAATGAATGGTACCCTCCTTGGGACTTCCACGTCACCTAAAGTTAACTATAAATTTAATAGAAAGATGATAAAAGGTAAGGAAATGGTAGGAGAAAGAAATCTTAGCCACCGCAACCCTAATAATGAAAACTGAAGCCACGAAATTACTCTCTCAAATAACTTTTAAACAACTAATACGGATACATTTTAGTATTGATAAGGAGTTGAAGGGCACAACTTAGAAACTTGAAAAAGTATGGGTACACCTTAGAAACTTGAATACCTTAGGGGTATAGCTTAGAAAAACCCAAAAAAAAATTGTTTAACAAAAAAAAACGACAAAGGGAATAAGGACAATTAAATCCCTTTCTCTTCGATGAATACCCCCGGTCAAACGACCTCTTAATATTTTCATAATATAAATGTTTTAATTCCTTACTAATACTAAAATTATTCCATATACAACTAATGTATATACGGAGTATTCAAAGTGCACAAAATGTAAATGAGAAAATCAAAACCATTAGTCCATTACCACCAATTACTATGGTCTATGGGTATCAAACGAAAACGGGTTGTTAAAAAACGGAGGGTGTAATGGACGGGTACAGTGCAGCAGAAGATGGGCTTTGTTACAACGCCACTCTAACAATTTAAACAAAAAGAGGCCCACTTAACAATCAGATAACTAGATAAGGATCTGGTGATCTCTTTGAAGACCAGTAGGCAGTAGCAGCAATACTTAACCATACAATAACCATACAATAAGATAACACCACTCATCTAATACAAGAACAACAACAAGCAGCTCTTCTTCCTCTTTTGAAATCATCAAAAATTTAACCAATGAATACTACTTCCATTAAATCCCAACATTTCTTCCCAACCCCAATCAAAACCACCCCATCAAATCCTAAGTTTTCCAACTTTATTTCATCAAATTCCCCTGCATTTCTGGGTCACAAAAACCTTATTATAAACCTTTCTTCCAAACACAAAAATTGGGTCATTAAATCATCGAAACATGAAATTATTGATAATGATGAACTAGTGTTTAAGAGAAGGTTACAGGTGTTTACAGGGGCTGCTTCAATTGGGCTTCTGCTGATGATGATGGGCCAAGACAAGGCATGGGCTTTAGGCCCAGAAGGCCCATTAATGGAGGAATTCTGGGAGAATGTAAGAAGATATGCATTGTATGCACTTACAGTGAGTACTGGGGTTATTTATACAATTTTACAGCCGATTGTAGAGTTGCTAAAGAACCCAATATCAGCTATATTGATAGTGGTTATTATTGGAGGATCTTTTTACATGGTTTCTCAAATTGTTTCTGCCATGGTTGGTGTCTCCGACTTCTCTTATCAATATGCCTACTAGACGCACTTGGTACGTACTTAATGAGAATTTCTCGGCCTCTAATAGCTTGAGTCTTCTATGACTTATTTAATCGTGTTTAGATGATATCATACATTGTATCAAACAAACCCGCTCCTCATTTTCTACTTTTATAGTATTTGATATGCCAAAGTTACAAAGTTGTGCAAGGTAGTTTAAATTACGATTTATGAGTTAATAGCGGTGTAATATCAGTTTATGAGGAAGATAATTAAGCTCGAGTTAAGTAAAGTTGTGCTTTTTGAAATTGTTTGGCCTTGGTTTATTTAAAGAAAATCGATGAAAGTTGGATATATTAAAACCAAAATTCCCTTTTATCAATCGAGTTAAAGAGGTACCAAATTTGTCTATTAAGTCAAGTGCGGTCATATAGGTAAATGCAAAAATGATCAAAGTTGAATGGAATGGTAAGTACATAAGTGAAACGTTGAAAATCGATAGTATCATAGTTGTCGAATTTAATTTGGACATAAAAGAAGGATGTCCTAAGAGAATATGCATGTATGTATGTATGTATGTATGTATTTCATAAACAATCAACGGAGGAAACAGATAAAGAGTAATGATCTCCGTTGGCATATTGGAAAATCAAGGATTCGCCTGCACGAAGGGGCTTGCCATCATTGACGAGACAATCGTTGTAACGGAGTCTTCGAAACACACTAGGATTGATAGTAATGGCAGAGCTGAACCAGTCGCAATTGACATGGATGTTGGAGATGTTGCACTCGGATGCACAGGCATTAAGTATCACAATGTTGTAGGATGGAATACCGCTGGGCAATGGCGACGAATCCTCTTGAGACTTGAGTTATTAGTATGTCATTCTTTGAGCATTTATAAGTTCCTCCAGCTCGTAGCACACCTACATCTAACAACAATTGCAATAATTGTAGTTAAGAATTTGCTTGTAATTTTTAAAATTTCTACCTTAATTATTGTGGAAAATCTACTGATAGAGTTAATTACTTTAAAAGCATATTGTAGAGCTGAGTACCATTCTTATTAATTATGTAATTGGTATGTTATAAATTGCACATGATGCATACCATAGAAAAAGGAGGGGTCATGAGTCTCATCAAATTAAATACGAGTAACGCCTTCTATGTATACGAATTCAAAGTCACATGAAAATTCAAAACCGATGAGGTAATGATAGTTAGAAATATCAAAACATTTAAAATGCCATAATAACATAAAAAAAATAGTTCACACTTGATATTTTTAAATTACCAGTCAAATTCATATCCATATACTACGGCTTGCAAAGAAATCAAACAAGCCAAGATGAGATCATATTACCTGAGGTAGAAAGTAGAAAGAAGGTGCTCAAGACCAAGGTGAAAATTATGCAGACGTTCATGGTGAATACTGAATAGCTATGTTTGTATGATTATAATTTCACATATGAACCATTTATACGTCTCATCTTATTTATATTATAGGTCAAGTGGTATCCACATGAATAAAGAATTATGCCCTTATTTATGTTAATATTTATCTGTACCCAAATTATGCAAGAGTTATGTGAACTATTTTTTTTTTAGTTAAGTGAACTATTCGCAAGTTTATTTATTTATTTTTTTATTTTTTTTCATTTAATGAATGATTGTAAATGAAACACAACTACACAAATAATATGGTAGACACTTTCCTTTTCTGGGTGTTTATGTTGAAATTATTTTGATATGTATTTTAGTGAAATTTAATGTAAGTTGAAGAATAATAAAAATATATACATTCTTCTAATTTTATGGAATTATTAATTAAAGGCTTGTTCATATTTACTGAACTGAGCTGAACTGAACTGATTGGAGCTGAACTGAACTGAACTGATTGGAGCTGAACTGAACTGAACTGAAAATAAGTAAATATGAACAGACCCTAAATTACAGGGACACTATTCCATAATGGAAAAATAATCAAAATACTTCATCTGTATTTTTATACTTGCAAGTTGCAACACACCTTTTATCACGCTTGTTTGAGGAGGTGATGAAACGAGGTAAACAAATGAATTAAGCTATGTAATTTAAACTGTAGTAACTTATCCCTTTCTTTTTCTTTCAAAAATAAATAAATTATTCCTTTCTTCTTATAGGTGGTAATTAAATTTTTGTGAATTAATTTTTTTGTATACGTATACCTAATGTAATATATATCTCCCTTAAAATGCACGAGTGCAAAAGAGTGTGTTGCAAGTAAACAAAAACAGATGAAGTATATTTTATAATTTATATACTATATACTACTACGTAGTAAATTTCAAATTCATTATTTCAATGTCCAGATGGTTGATAAAATTTAAGATACTCCCTCCGTGTTTTTTTTAAGTATTACAGTTTAACCGGCACATAGTTTTAGGCAATTTAATTGACTTAAATAAAATAAGAGGTAAATGGGGTAGTTGAAGTATTAAAAAATTATAAAAGAATGATAGTGGGGTTAATAGTTTATTGAAAAATAATGAATGTGAGATGAGAGATATAATAATAATAAAAAAGTAGTATTGGGTTTGGTAGGAACCATGAGAGGAGAGAGATATAATATTTTATTGTAGCTTTTTGCCAAAAAAAAAGGAAGTGTAACACTTAAAAAAACACGGAGGGAGTAACATTATTTATACTTGAATGTTAAATACGGTCAATAATTTGTTCAGATAATGTAGGATATTTAGACATACAATAACATATGACTTATATTTATATAATAATACTTTTTGTAGTTTTGTTTGTAAATAGATATCTAGTTATTATTGACTTGAAATTATTTCTATTGAACTTAAATTATTTTCACTAAATTGAAAGTATTTTTACCAAACTAAAATTAATGTTACCGATTAAAACTTATTTTTACCAATTCTCTAATATTTTTTTAAAATAAATTAAATAACAATGCATTTTGTATGCGACTAGTCACACCATCTAGCAGGACAAAGTGACCCCTATAAATTAAAACTGACCGAGCAACCCCTGTAATACTAATTGAATAACCTCTAACACTGACTAAGTTACCCCTTTCTATAACACTGATTGAATAACTACTATAACACTGACCATATAACACTAGACCTGGAAAATGGGTCGTTCGGGTCGAGTATGGGTCGGGTCAAATACAGGTTAGGTCATTTTGGGCCAGTTAACATTCGGGTTGGGTCATTTCGGGTTTGGGGTATGATTCGAGTTAGGTTTCGGGTCGAGTTATGGTCAGGTCAATTATGAGTCAATTTTGGGTCAGGTATGTTCGGGTCATATATATGGGTCGGGTCCAAATCAAGTCAAGTCATGTTCAGGTTGTTCCATTTGTAGATCAAGCTCAAATCAATAATTTTACATTTTGTTATTAAATCGATTAATGAGCTTAGCTACTGTTGAAAATGAACAATTTGAGTTGTTTTTGGTACTAGACATTTTTAGTTCAATTATAAAGTACTTTTAGTTTGGGTCATGTCGGATATTAGGTCGGTTTGGGTCAATTTCGAGTATCGGGTTTGTTCGGGTCAACTTCGGATGTCGGTTCAGGATCGAGTCAACTCCATTTTCAGGTCAAGTATGGGTCGAGTCGTGTGGGTCAATTCTGGTTTTGGGTCATTATCAAGTCGATTTTTTAGATCAATTTCGGGTCGTGGGTCGGGTCATTCGAGTCTGGGTTAGAATTGCCAAGTCTATATAGCATTGACGAAGTAATTCTTGTAATAGTTGGAGACACGGTTTGGTCAGTTACGTATAAAAGTTTATGATTAAATATATTATAATGAATCTTATTTTACAGAACTTTTTGAAACAAAGATGATGGAAATAAAATTGAGTTATTGGACATTTATTAAAAGTTATGATTAAATTTGTATATATCTGAAATATTAGAATTCATAGTAAAACTTTATACAACAATTTTATCTTAAAAAATCTATCCAAAAATCGTTTACTTAGTATCATATGTGTCACAATAATACCAATGTTAAGACAATTGACGAAAAATTGGAATGCCAAGTGACGTTGCCTCATGACGTGGCTGCGAGATTGACTTTATTTATTAATTGATATGATATGATATAAGTATTATCAAATCAAAAAGTTCATGAATTTGAAATTGGAAATACATGGAATATGGGAAAATATATTATTGTGATATATTTTTTTCATATAGATCTTAATAATATTATTTAGAATAATATAGTGATATTCTAACATATAAGATAGATTTCTGGTAATTTAATATTGTCTAGCAGTCTAGGATTAGAAATGTTTAAGTATGGTAGAGTTTTATATTTCATAGACAATCTCAAATCACCATAAATAATCTATCTTGAAAAATCACAAGATATATATAGATTTATGGTTATTTGATATTGTCTTGGATTAGAAATGTTTATGTATGGTAGAGTTTTATATTCATAGACAACATCAAATTACCATAAATAATCTATCTTTAAAAATCACTAAGATATATATATAGATTAAAGGTTATTTGATATTTTCTGGGATTAAAAATGTTTACTTATGATAGAGTTTTGTATTCATAGACAATATCAAATTACCATAAATGATCTATCTTAAAAAATCACTAAGATATATATAGATTTATGGTTATTTGATATTGTCTAGAGTTAGAAATGTTTACGTATGATAGAGACCGTAGAGTTTTATTCCAAATATATTTCATTTCTTATTATATGTGATTGATTCCATATGGGACTAACATTATGAAAACGGAGGGCCATATACAAAGTATCTATTCAAGGCTTTGATTCTTTGTGCGCTTGCTTATTTATTGTACTGTTAAGGCCCTGTTCACTTTACCTTGCAAAAATAATATTAAGTAAAAAATATTTTAGTTTAATAAATAAGTGCAATTCAGTCAAATTCAGTAGTTTTAAAGAAGAAATATAATAAAAAAATATGCTAAAATAATTTCAATTCAACAATAATAATTTTAATTTTGTAAAATTAATTTTTGTTTAGTAAAAATAATTTGAGTTATTTAGTTGCTGTTTGGTTACACTTATTTTCCATGGGCACTCAAAAGTCTTAGGAAATGCAAAATTCACGAGTTGTTTGGTTAACCAAAAAAGTGTAAAATGGAGGAAGCTGAAATTCATGAGAATTTGAAGTTCCCATGTATTATAGGAATTAAATTATCTAGGTCCCCGGTCGAAACCTCCAAAATTTCACAAAAAGCGTGGATATTAGCCTTCGACTTTGGAATTTTTTGATTTTTTTTCACCCAGAAATAAAAATTGCTGAAATGTTTACCATGGTCCCTAATATCCTCCGGGAGTCCAATTGGGTGGGTGGAACCATCCAATTTACCTTTTAACGACCAATTTACCGGTTTACAACTTCCACCGATTTCATTAATTCAAGCCCACCACGAACATTTATGACAACAAATAATGATCATATATGATTCCAAATGAAATTATATGACCCCGAGATGTATTCCCTAGAATTTCAAGACTTTTCAAAACCGAGCCCCGAAAACTATAAAAATTCTCAAAAAGCGTGGATATATAGCCATCAATTTTTGAATTTTTTTGACTTTTTTTCGCCCGTCAATAAAAATTGCAGAAATGTTTACTATGATCTCTAATATCCTTCGGGAGTCCAATTGGGTGGGTGGAACCATCCAATTTGCCTTTAAACGGGCAATTTACCGATTTACAACTCTCACCGATTTCATTAATTCAAGCCTGTCAGGCTGCCACGAACATTTATGACAACATATAATGATCATTTATGGTTCCAAACTGCATTACATGACCCTGAGATATATCCCAAAAAATCTCAAGTCTTTTCGACAATAGTCCCCGAAACCCCAAAATTTCTCAAAAAGCATGGAATTAACCTTCAATTTTGGAATTTTTTTGACTTTTTTTCGCCCGAAAATATAAATTGCCGAAATTTTTACCATGGTCCCTAATACCCCCTAGGAGTCTAATTAGGTGGGTGGAACCATCCAATTTGCCTTTAAACAGCCAATTTACCGATTTACAACTTGCACCGATTTCATTAACTCAAGCCTACCACGAACATTTATGACAACATATAATGATCATATATGGTTCCAAATAACATTATATGACCATGAGATTTATTCCCTATAACTTCAAGACTTTTTGACACCGAGCCCCGAAACCTTCAAAATTTCGCAAAATGCATGGATATTAGCCTTCAATTTTGGAATTTTAAGACTTTTTTCGCTCGTAAATAAAAATTGCCGAATTGTTAACCTTGGTCCCTAATAACCTCCGGGAGTCGTATTAGGTGGGTGGAATCATCAAATTTGCTTGTAAACGGCTAATTTATCGGTTTACATCTTGCATCGATTTCATTAACTCAAGCATACCAAGAACATTTATGACAACATATAATGATCATATATGGTTCCAAACGACATTATATGACCCCGAGATGTATCTCCCTAAATTTCAAGGCTTTTAAAGATCCGGCCCTGAAACCTCCAAAATTACTGTATAAGCGTGGATATTAGCCTTTAATTTTGGAATTTTTTGACTTTTTTTCACTTGCCCATAAAAATTGCCAAAATGTTTACCATGGTCCCTAACACCCTCCGATAGTTCAATTGGCTAGATGGAACCATCCAATTTGTCTTTAAACAACCAGTTTACCGGTTTACAATTTGAATCGATTTCATTAACTCAAGCCTACCACGAACATTTATGACAACATATAATGATCATATATGGTTCCAAACGACATTATATGACCCCGAGATGTATTCCCTAAAATCTCAAGGATTTTCGACACCGGGCCTCAAACCTCCAAAATTTCTCAAAAAGCGTGGATATTAGCCTTAAATTTTTGAATTTTTTGACTTTTTTTCGCTTGTAAATAAAAATTACCGAAATTTTTACCACGGTCCCTTATAACTTCCGGGATTCTAATTTGGTGGGTGAAACCATCCAATTTGCCTATTAATGGCGAATTTACTGGTTTACAACTTGCAGCGATTTCATTAACTCAAACCTACCACGGACATTTATGATATCTATAATGATCATTTATTGTTTAAAACAGTATTATATTTCCCCGAGATGTATCCCCTAATTAAAATCTCAAATCTTTTCGACACCGGGTCCCGAAACCTCAAAAGTTTCTCAAAAAGCGTGGATATTAGTCTTCAATTTTGGAATTTTTTGACTATTTTTTATCCGTAAATAAAATTTGCAGAAATGTTTACCATGGTCCCTAATACACTCTGATAGTTCAATTGGCTAAGTGGAACATCCAATTTGCCTTTAAACCACCAATTTACTGGTTTACAACTTGCACCGGTTTCATTAACTCGAGCCTACCACGAACATTTATGACAACAAATAATTATCATATATGGTTTCAAACGACGTTATATGACCCCGAGAAGTATTCCCTAAAATTTCAAATCTTTTCAACACCGGGTCTCGAAACCCCAAAATTTCTTAAAAAACGTGGATAAGAACAAATACTCATTGGTGTACGGTACATCCGGTTGTATATAACAATCTCTCCAAATGACTATCATGCAATGTATTTGTAAGTAATTTTAATAAACTTTTTATTATAAAATTCACGAAATAATTGATTAATGTATTTTATATAATATGACTCCATTGTTTAGGCCTTCGGGGGCCCTATTTAATTTTTCGCTCCGGGCCACAAAAATGTCCGTGATGACAATGTTTTTCTTAACTTGAAAAAAACTTCTAAATAGGGAGTGCTACATATTGTATAATTGTTATTTATATAACTGAAAAAAGGAAATAAATTGTTGTCCAGCCTCTATAGCATAGTGGTATTGCGTTCGCTTCGTAAGCGAAAGGTCGCGAGTTCGATCCTCGCTGGGGGCTTAAATGTGTTCTTTTTTTAACCACAAAATATACTGAGGATAAAAGATTCATACAAATTTGTTTAGGTTTTTTTTTTTTTTTTTTTTTTTTTTCATTGATCATCTCTAAATGATCTCCCTCGTCAGCTGACAAGTAAGCACTAGCAAATGAGAGGGAGATGAAGTAATTTAGAAGTTGAAGGGACATTAAACACGCCTAATTAAGAATGTTAGTACATTGTTAATTGTTTGCACTAAAAGTGACAACAACAGATGATGCGATGCATACCAGAATCAACAGATTATTATTTATGACGACCATAAGGCTCAAAACTGGTAACAGAGTTAGGAGGACCACCAGCAGCAGCAGCAACAGCAGGAGCACCAACCGCATCAGAAGCAGTAGCAGCAACGGAAGCATCTTTTAAGTAAGCATTGACAGAGGAAAAGTCCCCAAAATAGGCATGATGATGGTGTGAAGGTGGAGGACCAATGTGAAAAACAGGCCCAAAAGCAGCGTACTGATCCATGGCTGCTCTACTGAGCTTGAGGAGGGGCTCACAAGTGCGGATAGAGCCATGTTCCCCCTCCAGCTCCCTGTAACGATGGAGGTAAAGGGTGAGTGGCTCGACGTAGTCGTCGAAACCAAGCTTGCTCATGGCCCACAGTACATCTTCTGCTGTGATTGTCTTACGCTGCTCCCTTTGGCACCTCTCGTTTGCTTCTCCTGTTATGAAGCTAATGTACTCGGACACACACTCCTGCAGTATAATTCCATGTATTTGATATGAGAAAACTTAGGTTTGAAGAAATACATACGATATTATTATTGATATTGAATGGTATGTTAAAAAATGATGACCTGAATGGTTTCCTTGGCATCATCTGAAATTTTGGCATGCGGTGGAAGAATCTTGCGCATGATTCGAATGACATTAGCAATGGGCATAAAGCGATCCTGTTCTCGCACAGTGCACTCATTGTTATTTTGATCAGCTGAGTGGTTACCACTTCCGTTGAAGTTGTTATTCATGTCATGAGACAACACTTTTCCATTGATAGTTGCGCGTATGTGATTCATCTCTCCAGCTACTGCAGCCTTGGATGACAATTTCATTTCTGTGGCAAGTAAAGAATCATACACATCACACATATCAATCTAAACAGAGGGGGAGGGGGGATTACTTCGCTACAATAGGTATGCTGATTGGCCCTATTATATACTTACACTTGTTTAATCTACAATTTATTTTCAGTTATATAAATACTCCATTTGAATTGGTATAAGGGAAATAGGTGTTAATGCTTGTATAATTGTATTAACGTTCATTGGTTTTCTCCAGCTAAAAGAAGGCAATTGGTTTTCTGGTGCGTTGGAATTAGTGATGAGGACTTAATTAGACTTAAAGAAGTCCATAATATGGAGTAGTATTACAGTATTAGATGTGTGTTGGTAATAAAAATGGCTGTTGGAAATGCAAGAAAGAGGTTGAAAATTAATTAAAGGGAATCCCTTAACGGAAGTCTGGTGTAGATGTCTAGTTTACCATTCAACGACGGGCCCTAGGCCTAGTACACCCTCAGGGCCGGGCCTGAACTACAACAACATTTGCATTTTCAACAGTAGCATGCAGCTTTTGTTTTTTGAGAAATCTTAATTAACATTCTAAAGACAGTAGTAGATAACAACAACAATTAACAATCTAAAGCCAACAACATACAACATCAACAAGCTAATACATGACACATTCACACCAACGACATATAAAATTAAACACAGCAACAACAGTATACAATTAAGCCCTGAAAATCCGACATGCGATGGGATGCAACTATTCAAAAATGGTTTTAATTTGATAGTGTAGCGTACCTTAAATTAGGACGAGGTTAACTTGGAATGAATTCGCCTAATTATAGAGCAACAACAGCAAGTAGTCAGTCAGTATATATAATAAAGACGAATACACAAACTTAAACTTAAAACCGAAGTAAGAAAGGACCTTACTAATTTAATTTGGGGGTGTGGATATGTAAGAGAATACAAGGAAGGAGAAGAACTAGAGGAGCTTAATTGTTGCGGGGGAATTGAAACAAACTAGGATGGCGAATTCTCAGAGTGTGAAACAGATTTAAATTAAATTACAGTGTGTACAGTAGTCCGTTGGTCAATGGGAGGAGAGAGAATAAGTAACCAAAACATGTTGCTGAGGTTGCATGGTTATTAACAACTAGCTATAGCCCCATTATGGTCATTTTATCACTATTAATACATACATGTGCAACTGCAACTCCTCTTTTTTGTATTCTGTATCAGTCTACACATACCTCTTCACTTTGATTAACACAACTTGTAAATACTGAACCAAAAAATTGTGAGGGTTAAAGTCTAGTCAGGGTCTTCCTTGCCAAAAAATTAAAAATAAAAAACCACCAACTTTACTTTAACTAATACGGAGTAATAAAAAAAAAATACAAGTATAATAATAATCTTGTTAGATTTCACATTATTGATAATTAGAAACAATATGTACATTTTGTTTAATTTAAGCTTTCCTAGACAATATAATAAAAGAAAATTGAAAACTAATATGGAACAAATAAAATATAGACGTAGGTGTTGAGGCATAATTACACATAATTAAGGGTTAAATTTAAATATGAGCGACTGCATTAGACAAAGGGGAAGAGCAACTCTGTTTTCATTTCTCTTACTGCATTGGATTATAGGAGTCATGTACTCATGTGTACAACAAATTTACAAAATTAGAAAAATAGAAAGAAAAACCCAGCATGAGGCAGCGCATGAAGTAAATTTAATTCGTAAATTTACTCACAAAAGCATTATTTTTATTATTATTGGATTCATACACTAACACATTGTATTATGATCATACATACCAAGTACTGTATTATGGCAAACGATTACGTATTTCAGATATTATACACAAGTAACAGAGGAAACAGAGAAAGGATAAATGTGAATACTGTAATACTCAAATATCAACACTTCCGACTGCCCAAGGGGATCACCGTTGTTCACAAGACAGTCATCGTCGGAGATTCTCCGCAACATGGTGGGATGTATGGTGGGGCCCTTATCGAAGTTGAACCCCCCGCAACTAACATGGATGTTACCAAGTCTGCAGGCGTCTGATGTGCAGAAGTTACTTATCACGACTATGACGTATGAAAATTCGATTGGGACTGCTGGGTTCGGCATTTGATTTATGTCTATATCGCGCTCAGAGCATGCTGGTCCAAATCCAAATCTATCAGTGCCTGATCCATAACAACACCAATGTGACGCATTAAAATGAGGGTATCAGCTATTAACCTAAAGTTGAAAATCTTGCAGCATTTTGTTTACCAATTGGTGTTGCGAGAGGGTTAGGGAGTTTATGCGTCAACAAGCTAGAGTTAGTGCCATTGACAAAGTCCTTGGAAAGGACTATTTTAGCAATGTTTATCTCTCTGTTGCTTGTCTCTTCTTTCACTACTGACCTGCTGCCTAAACTTCCTGCCAAAACATGATCAGCACTTAGTAGTAGATACAAAATCACTACTGTATTTGTCCAAAAAAAAAAAAAAAAAAAAAAAACACTTTAGACAAATTTAAAAACTGAGAAAATTAGAGAAGAATGTAGTAAACCAAGACTAGTACAGTGTATTAGCTACGAGTGAGAATTTTGGTTTTTTTTTTTTTTTTACTTGGGGTGGAATTGAAGAGTGGCTGTAGTATACCTGTGATAGAAAGTAGAAGGAAAGTGATAAAGGGCAAGTAATCTTTAAGGTAACATAGCTCCAAACAAGTTCGCGCAGCTCCCATGACACGATCCTAAGGAAGAACAATGATGAGACAATTATATGTACAATAAGTGGGATATATTCAAGAGAAGAACTGAAGAAGCAGCAGCATTTATATATATAATCAAATAGATGTACCAAAGGAGTATACTACGTAGTACGTGCGGTAGTAGGCAATGGGAAATGAAAATGCAATTAATAAGACTATAGCTTAGGCTACTATTTATAAGAAGAAAGATGGATTAATACGAAGAATAATGCAGGTAAATGAGGACTGAAGCAGCATGCATGCAACTGATTTGATCAACTCGCTCTCTTTTAGTCAATTCTCACCCTTATCTTCAAGCCAATTGTATGACAAAATTACACTAATAACCAATTACAAAATTACAGCTATAGCACTACTAATTAATTAAATTACTTATGCGGTAGTTACTAGTTGGTTGTTCTGCCAACGTGATATAGCATAACAACATTCATCACTTGAAAATTACTACGTAGTATGATTCTAACTATATTAGAAATTAAATTCTGACTAGTCTTGTTAATTAAAGATTAATAAGTCTGAACGTGCAAATGTGCAATACAAACAGTTAAAAGTTAAAACCAAGAATGGATCTTACTATTGAAAAGAACATAAACAGTATTAGGATTTCACCAAATAAAAAATAAAATAAATAAATAAACAGTATTAGGATATATTCAAGAATCCATGGCCTCAATCCTCCTCTCAACTCAATCATGTCTATTGGGTGGGTCCATCTAACAACATTGCACAAAATCACAACTTCTGGACTCTCCTATGATTTGTAGCAACTGAAAATATCAATTCAAACAAACCAATAATAAATACTACGTAAATATTATAGACCACATTCACCACAACAATCCTACAGCAGCCCACCGTCCCTATGCATGTAAGATCTAGCATTTGTAACTAGAACCTTCAAAAGCAAGTTGAATAAATAATTGGATAGAGTTTCACCTGTATATTGACTTCTCTACCCTTTCTGTCTTAGGTCGTTACGCATGATCTCACAACTAATAGCCAGGGTATTATGGTCATTCATCATATGACCGTCTTCCATGCAACTTTCAGCAATAGAACTTGGTTGCCCTCTATATAAGGAGAGCCTTCTGCTTCTCCATGAATAAGAAAGTTGTATAGGACCACTCGAATTTCCAGTCATTTTCTTGATCTACTTGACGGTTAATCTGCTCTTTATTTAATTTCCATAGCTAGTTAAGAATCTGAAGAATGTGCCTTCAAGTTGAAGCCTTAAAGCTTGATGATTCACTACTTTCTAAGAGCAATAACATATCAAACCTAAGAACCAAGTACCAATATTATTTTAGAAAAGCTTCAGTGTTGTTCATTTCAATTACTCTATTTTCCTTCCTTCTTTCCTACTTCACTGGCATCTCCTTCCTCTACTCTTACACTTATTATTCCTCCAAGTTTCTCTTGCCATATCTCACCCAAACTTTTGAGAGGAAGTACATGTTTCTTCTCTGCAACGGAATCCTCGTCTTCCTCGCAGGCAGATCAGGTTTGCACAAAGCTTCCTGCAATTTGCCTTCAGAATTACAGACGAAGGTGGCTGAAACTGATATTCACATCCGCGAAAAGATCATGAATGTTGAAGAAGACCTTATGTTGCATCCTGCAGAATCTTTTCATCCTCTATCTGAAGAAGAAGCAGAAATTTCCATTGGAGACGAATTGCTTAAAATACAAGCAGAAGCAGCAGCAGCAACAGTGGCGGAAAATGAGCCAGTTCTGATTGAAGCAGATCATCAAGTGGTAGACTTAGTAGAAGATGGAGCCCAGCTGGATGAAGGAATTGAAATGGAGAACAAGGAAGAAAGTGGGTCGAATATTTTAGAAGGAGAAGAGGATGATACAGAGAGTGAAGGACCTGCAAGCAATACAGAAGAGCTAAATAAGAAGATTGAAGAATTCATTAGAAAGATGAAGGAAGAACTTCAGCTTGAAGCTCAACAACAGCAAATCATTGCTGCATAACTAGTCTACTTTTCCCAACCTTTTCCAGTTCACCATGAATGCACACTACAGGTGCAAGTATATTAAGCTTTTCACCAACCACCTTCCTCCCCCTCCACCAAAAAAAAAAAAACTTTTTCTTCAAACTAGCATTAGTAATGGAAGTTACCGAGTCATTAGTCATTTGTCTTGTTAATACATTTTTCATTTTTGTTTTTTTTCCCCTTCCTCTTTAAGGTCTAGAAGTTTCAAGGGAAAAAAAGATATTCAAATCACTCCTTTTTAGATCAAGAAGAATGATGTTTCCTCCATTTCTCCTTTATTAGTTGCAAAGTTTAGAATGCTCAACTTCGATCAATTATAACTTTAGTTATCAACATCAAGTATATATTGTACACTGAGTCAAATTTAACAAGACATTACACAACAATATTTTACCCTACATATAAATCACCAAAGATATTGCAAGACAAAGTATTGTTATAAAAATAAACAAAGTAATACAAAGTACTCCATACTCAGCTCGTACTAGTTAATGGCAAAATAATTAAACGTCTATTCCTAACATCTCGTGTTACCATCCTTGTTTAATCACCCAAATTGATGACATAATCCTCATATTATAGCCCATGTACTGTGCAACTTTTCAGAAATTATGCATGATAATAGTCCTTTAATTTGCCTAGTTAGTACATGACTCTCTTTTTGTCAGCACTAGGAGTTTTAAGGGGAAAGAAGAGTCAAATCCAGTAAGAGAAAGAGTACTACTAGAGGGTGGGAGACCATTGATGTCTAGTCCTCAAAGTTTTCTGCTACTTTTACTTTTTTTCTTTTTGTTTTATTTCCTATAATGAGTTTATCAGTTAATCACCCATTCAATCATTCCCATGTACTGAACTGTGCTACTTTATCACATATTATGCATAATAATGGGGGCATAATATCTTTACCTGTAATTTACTGTGTAGAAAACACTAGAAACGAATCAACCAAGAAAAGCCAAATCAAACTGTTAGCAGCAAAGTGATACTGTATCCAACCAATTGACTACACGTGTTAAAATTCAATCACAGAAGATCTTGATTCAAAGTGTAAATTTATTCACAACTTTATAGCAATAATTGACTCCAATTTAATAGCAATATTCCATCTTTGATATTCTATGGACGGGGAACACTGCTGCTAGACAATTCTGTTATAACTGTACCGTAAGAATCAAATACACACATACATGAATGGTAATAATGGTAATCAATTTATTTTGCAATGCGAGTCTCATTCATGGCCTATGTTAATCGGACTCTTCATTTCAACTCAAGTACTTATGTCGAACCCTCGACTCTGTGACGTGGATAGGAGACTATGAAACTTCATTTTTGCTCAAAATCATGGAAACTTTTCACAAAATAGCATAGTCAGACACCCAGTCACGTTCCCATGTCGCGCAAGAATACCTGAGTCCTAGTAACATAGCTCATGGTGATGAGTGGTGACCATGGCAATTGAGTAGATAAAAATATGCGTATTTGAGTTGAAAATGCACTTTCACAGACAAATTTATGAGACTTCATGGAACTTTACAGCTTTACTAATTACTACATAGCAACACATATAAACTCATTCCCAAGTATATCTATGAAACAAGAGCTCAGTCTTAAAACTGTTATGAACTGATTCATTCAATGGCTTCACACAAGCTTGTGTTTTCGACGACGACAACAACAACAACAAAATAAAATAAAAAAAAAAAAAAAAAAACAAAAAATTATATGCCTAACAAGTTAAGTACCTAACACACGGAATAAATGACAAGAATGAAGTGGGACTTCAAGAGAGAAAAAACTTACCATAAGATTCTTCAATCATGTATTAGGGGATAAGCTGTTAACTGTTTGGTAACACTGAACTATTTGTAGCTATGGGATTATCCTTGATATCTGTCCATAGAAATCAAGGATAACCAGCCAGCTAAATGCGTGAGCCACCCATTAAGCTTAAACATGTGCTATCAGGCCATAATTGGACCTTAAACACCAACTTGATTATTAGAATACAAAGAATTGTGAATTTTTATTTGATGTAATAAGGCATTCAAGCAATGATTCACAACATAAGGATGTGCTTATTTGTCTTTTACCAGATAAACGATAATGACTGCTCCATGAAATCTTCTCTCTTATGTGGTCCTAAACAATCACAATTTCCTTTTCATGTCCACTATCTTTATCGAACATGAATGAACAACTCATAAACATATATCAAATGGGTCCTCTTGATTAAAAAAAAACAAAAGATGAAAGAATCACCTGAAAACTAATTGCAGAGGCGCATCAAGATTCAAGAGTGATCGAAAAAAAAACACAGGATCTGATTAGCTTCATAACCCATTAAACCTGACAGTTGATAAGTTCCAATGTCATGTGAGTGATGCTAATAGCCATAAATTTTTCATCTGCAGGACATTTAACATAATTGTTAGTAAATAAACAGGAAAGGCAAACTGTGGATGCTTATCTCTTCATTTAACTTACCCGTCGGGATACTAGACAATCCAGCAAAATGTGGATGCTTATCTCTTCATTTGGACAAAATAATGCAAAGCTGTAAAACCGGCTGTGTCCGACACTAGTACACTAGCCAGGGTAAGGTATAAGCATGCATTGGTGAACTTACTTTATTATCTGGCTTATCCTGTAACAATCCAATTTTCTGTTTCCAACACATTCATTGTCAACAAGTTGTTCCAGCCAGATTATGCTATTAGATCTTGTTTCAAAGGAAACTCCTGTCATTCGTCTACATGCAGGTCCCCAAGTATGTAGTGAAGCAGGCAGAGCCATAAGCTAGAGGTGGAACTTGTCTTAATCCCAAAATTTTCTTTCAGTGTCCCAACTTCCCTGCCTGCACGGAGAATTCTTAGTTTCTCACCAGTTCAGATCAGTTTGTATCCTAAGCAAAAGCTCCAAGCAGAGATACTTCCAGACTTCATCTATCATCAAATGTCAGCGGCCAGAGGAAGTCAGCACTCAGCAAGACAACCAACAAACTTAGATGAACTATCTTTTCAACATTGCTGAAAGGACATACTATAAGCAGAATAATGAGTAGGCTTCTTTTAAGGAAAATTCACTAATATGGCCCATACTTGCCCACATATGTACTATTAGGCCACTAGGGTTCACAATACCCACTCATGTACTACTCGTACTATAAATACCCCTCTAAGGGGCCAAAGGTAAAAGAGAGGTCACTCTTACACTAAGATGACCATCCTCCTCCACTCTCTCTCCCCTAAAATCCTCTCAAAATATGCATTGTTTGGCATCTAAGTTGGGCTTCGAAGGCTCCGTCTCGGGGTCTACTCTGGGACTCGGGGTTCATTTTTCCATTCAGGGTCCAAATCCGAGGTTAGCAACCAGCCCTCCAAGGCCCAGTTAGTCCATTTTTTGCCGAAATAGGAAGTAAATTACCAAGACCTTCCTTTGATCAACCAAACTCATGGGAATTTCGAGTGCCCATTGTCATAACGAAACAATTTAAGGAGGAAAATACTTCCTAAAAAGGCAAAAATACAACTTTCAACAGGAATTTATTTCCCAGGTTAACCAAACAAAGCCTGAAGTAAAATTTCCAATCTTTACATGTAATATTATTCGGAAAATTTGTCAATTACTACCGCAAGTTAATACTACTTTGTAAATTACTTCCGCAAATTAAAAAAGTTGTGAATTACTACCGCAAAAAATTTTAAGATGTTGTGATTACTACCAAACCCCCATTAAACCCAACTATGACGTCATTATATCACTTTAACCCATGGTTAAAGCCCTTAACCATGACGTCATTATATCCCTAAACCATTTTCTTTTTTTTGGGGGGTTAAAGCCCTTAACCATGGTCAAACACGGGTTAAAGTGATATAATGACGTCATATTTGGGTTTAATGGGGGGTTTGGTAGTAATCGCAACATCTTAAAAATTTTTGCGGTAGTAATTTACAAAGTGGTATTAACTTGCGGTAGTAATTGGCAAATTATCCATATTATTCTAAGGCATAATTTACCATTTCAAGAACACACAGGGATCAATGGATCATTATATATCAAATAATTCTACTGTACTAATTACTAAAGAAGAAACCTTAGAATTGGTTTGATTATTAATAATGCAATGTCAGGTACTCCAATTGAATATTCAATTGGGATTCCGAATTCCAATTGTCGGACATTATTGACTACACAATATTGAAAAGTTCATTTCTCTGAAATAAAAGAAAAATAAGAAATAAATTGAAGGATTTAAAGCATACCGGAGGAATTTGCTTGTATTTCCTGCGCTCATTGGAGTGGAGTGTGCACTGTTTTTCTTCCGGACTGTAGTAACAGATTGTATTAGCAAGTGTGAAATGTCATTGTGAAATATCAAGATAAACCTAATTTGGGTTTCCAAATTGCATACCAATCTAACACAATTATACAAGGTTATTGATTTAGTGGTGAATGCCGAAACCTTCAAAATTTCTCAAAAACCATAAATATTAGCCTTTAATTTTGGAATTTTTTTACTTATTTTACCCTGGAATAGAAATTGTCAAAATGGACTCAAGCCTATCACGGACATTTATGACATCATTTAATGGTCATATATGGTTCTAAACGACATTATGTGATACTAAGATGTATCTCCTAGAGTCTCAACACTTTTCGCCACCGGGCCCCGTAACTTCAAAAGTTCCTCAAAAAGCTTGGATAATAGCCTTCAATTTTGGAATTTTTTTACTTTTTTCGCCCGAAAATAAAAATTCTCGAGATGTTTACCATGATCCTTAATACCCACCGGGAGTCCAACTGGGTAAGTACGTGAAACCATCCAATTTTCCTTAAAACGGTCAATTTACCAATTCGCAACTTGCACCGATTTTGTGAACTCAAGCCTACCATGAACATTATGACATCATTTAATGGTCATATATGGTTCCAAACGGCATTATATGACCCTAAGATGTATCCCCTAGGGTCTCAACACTTTTCGCCACCGGGCGCCGAAACTTCAAAAATTCCTCAAAAAGCATGGAAAATAGCCTTCAATTTTGGAATTTTTTTCACTTTTTTCGCCCGGAAATAAAAATTGCAGAGATGTTTACCATGGTCCTTGATACCCTCCGGGATTCCAATTGGATGGGTGGAATCATCCAATTTGCCTTAAAACGGTCAATTTACCAATTCGCAACTTGCATCGATTTTGTGAGCTCAAGCCTACCACGGACATTTATGACATCATTTAATAGTCATATATGGTTCCAAACGGCATTATATGACCCTAAAATGTATCCCTTAGGGTCTCAACATTTTTCGCCACCGGGCTCGTAACCTTAAAAATTCCTCAAAAAGCGTGGATAGCAATTTTGGAATTTTTTGACCAATTTTCGCCCAGAAATAAAAATTGCAGAGATGTTTAACATGGTCCCTAACACCCTTCAGGAGTCCAATTGGGTGGGTGGAACCATCCAATTTGCCTTAAAATGGTCAATTTACCAATTCACAACTTGCACCGATTTTGTGAACTCAAGCCTACCACGAACATTTATGACATCAATTAATGGTCATATATGGTTCCAAACGGCATTATATGACTCAATGATGTATCCCCTAGGGTCTCAAAACTTTTCGCCACCGGGCTCGTAACGTCAAAATTTCCAAAAAAAAACGTGGAAAATAGCCTTCAATATTGGAATTTTTATTTTTATTTTTTTAGCCCGGAATCAAAAATTGCCGAGATATTTACCATGGTCCCTAATACCCTCCGCGAGTCCAATTATGTGGGTGGAACCACCCAATTGGCCTTTAAAACGATCAATTTACCAATTCGCAACTTGAACCGATTTTGTGAACTCAAGCCTACCATGGACATTTAAGACATCATATAATGGTCATATATGGTTTCAAACGGCATTATATGACCCTAAGATGTATACCCTAGGGTCTCAACACTTTTCGCCACCGGGCCCCGTAACTTCAAAAATTCCTCAAAAAGCATAGGTAATAGCCTTCAATTTTGGAATTTTTTGACTTTTTTTCGCCCGGAAATAAAAATTGCCGAGGTGTTTAACATGGTCCCTAATACCCTTCGGGAATCCTATTGGGTGGGTGGAACCATCCAATTTACCTTAAAACGATCAATTTACCAATTCGGAACTTGCACTGATTTTGTGAACTCAAGCCTACCTTGGACATTTATGACATCAATTAATGGTCATATATGGTTCCAAACGGCATTACATGACCCAATGATGTATCCCATAGGGTCTCAAAACTTTTCTCCACCGGGCCTGTAACATAAAAAATTTCCACAAAAAACGTGGATAATAAGCCTTCAATTTTGAAATTTTTTGACTTTTTCGCCCAGAATCAAAAATTGTTGAGATGTAATACCCTCTGGGAGTCCAATTAGGTGGGTGGAACCATCCAATTTGCCTTAAAACAGTCAATTTACCAATTCACAACTTGCACCGATTTTGTGAACTCAAGCCTACCACGGACATTTATGACATCATTTAATGGTCATATATGGTTCCAAACGGCATTATATTACCCTAAGATGTATCCCCTAGGGTCTCAACACTTTTCGCCACCGGCCCCAATAACCTCAGAAATTCCTCAAAAAGTGTGGATAATAGCCTTCAATTTTGGAATTTTTTGACTTTTTTTCGCCCGGAAATTAAAATTGCCGAGATGTTTACTATGGTCCCTAATATCCTCCGGGAGTCCAATTGACTGGGTGGAACCATCCAATTTGCCTTAAAATGATCAATTTACCAATTCGCAACTCTCACCGATTTTGTGAACTCAAGCCTACCACGGACATTTAAGACATCATATAATGGTCATATATGGTTCCAAACGGCATTATATGACCCTAAGATATATCCCCTAGGGTATTAACACTTTTTTCCACCGGGCCCCTTAACCTCAAAAATCCTCATAAAGCGTGGATAGTAGCCTTCAATTTTGGAATTTTTTGACTTTTTTTCGCCCGGAAATAAAAATTGCCGAGATGTTTACCATAGTCCCTAATACCCTCCGGGATTCCAATTGGGTGGGTAGAATCATCCAATTTGCCTAAAAACGATCAATTTACCAATCCGCAACTTGCACCGATTTTGTGAACTCAAGCCTACCACAGACATTTATGACATCATTTAATGGTCATATATGGTTCTAAATGGCATTATATGACCCTAAGATGTATCCCCTAGGGTCTAACACTTTTCGTCACCGGTCCCAATAACCTCAAAAATTCCTCAAAAAGCATGAGTAATAGCCTTCAATTTTGGAATTTTTTTGACCTTTTTTCGCCCAAAATAAAAATTGCCGAGATGTTTACCATGGTCTCTAATATTCTCTGGGAGTCCAATTGAGTGGGTGGAACCATCTAATTTGCCTTAAAACAATCAATTTACCAATACGTAACTTGCATCGATTTTGTGAACTTAAGCCCACCACGGACATTTATGACATTATATAATGGTCATATATGGTTCCAAAAGGAATTATATGATCCTAAGAAGTATCGCCTAGGGTCTTAATACATTTTGCCACCGGGCTCCGTAATCTCAAAAATTCCTCAAAAAGCGTTCAATTTTGGAATTTTTTGACCTTTTTTTGCTCGGAAATAAAAATTGCCGAGTTTTTTACCATGGTCCCTTATAGCCTCCGGGAGTCCAATTGAGTTGGTGGAACCATCCAATTTGCCTTAAAACGGTTAATTTATTAATTCGCAACTTGCACCGATTTTGTGAACTCAAGCCTACCACGGACATTTATGACATCATTTAATGGTTATATATGGTTCCAAATGGCATTATATGACCCTAAGATGTATCACCTAGGATCTCAACACTTTTCGACACCGGGCCCCGTAACCTCGAAAATTCCTTATAAAGCGTGGATAGCTTTCAATTTTGGAAATCTTTGACATTTTTTCGCCTGAAAATAAAAATTACCGAGATGTTTATAATGGTCTCTAATACCCTCCGGGAGTCCAATTAGGTGGGTGGAACCATCCAATTTACCTTAAAACGATCAATTTACACGTTTTCGTACACTCCTCCTGTATTGGCTATAAGCTTTTACGGGGCTTGTACGTAGTCGAATAATGGTCATATGTGGGTCGAAACAATATTATATTTCCCCGGGATGCATCCCGTAATGTTCCGTGAAATTCCCACACCAGGTCTCGACACATCCTAAATTGTTCCGATTTCGTGTTTTATAGCCTTCATATTTGGCTTCCGTATATCATTTTTTCACCCGACGAGATTTTGCATCTAAGCACTTCCTTGGGTTCCCAAAGGCCCTTGGGAGTCATAAAGAGTGTCCGGAACCATCTAATTCATCCTTGGGTGCATATGTCTTATGCACATGCCACACGACCCGTTGCCCACTTGTACCATCCAACATCCCAACACTTAGGCTTTGTGACACCTCTTAATCCCGTACTAGCCTTTTTTAGCATACGAGATGCATCGCTAACCTCGTTTTCTAAAATATAGGTGTTTTTAGGGAATAGGGTGGGGGGAGGGATGAATTGAAGTGACATAGGGCTGAATCTCAGTATCCACCGCGCGAGCTTAGCCTACGACACGTGCTGAAAACCCTACTGTAGGACGGCATCGGGCGGTGGGCGCATGCGTCGCTTCTGGCCCGAATTTTGACTTAGAGGCGTTCAGTCATAATCCAGCACACGGTAGTTTCGCGCCACTGACTTTTCAACCAGGCGATGCATGCGCCACACGGCCCCTTGCCCACGCCCAAGGAAGAAACCCCACGCCCTAGGAGAAACACCACGCCGAAGCTCAAACTCCACGCCCAAGGAAGAATCCCACACCCATCATGAAACCCCACGCCTTGGGAGAAACCCCACGCCTACTGTTCAACCCTATGCCCAAAACTCAAACCCCACGCCTACTGTATCAACCCCACGCCCAATGAAGAACCCCACGCCCTAGAAAGAAACCCCACGCTCAATGAAGAAACTCCACGCCCAAGGTCAAACCCCACGCCAAAGATGAAACCCCATGCCCAAGATGAAACCCCACTCCCTAGGAGAAACCCCACGCCGAAGCTCAAACCCCACGCCCAAGGAAGAACCCCACGCCCATCATGAAACCCCACACCCTAGGAGAAACCCCACCCCCACTGTTTGTAATTGCTTATATTTTCCCTGCTTTTTAATCCTTTGCACTTTCCCCCTCTAACCTACTCAACTAATTAAGCCACAATAACCACTATTGCCTCATTGCCTGGCCCCACGACCACTGTTGTCTCACTACCACCGCTGCCACAATAACCACCATCATCTCGCCACCGTCCCTGCCATAACAACTGCAATTTGTTTGTAATTGCTTCGATTAGGCTTGCAATTGCTTATTGGTTGCTTGTGAGTTAGGATCATTAATTGCTTTTTTAGTTTTTTGAAACAAAGGATCATCAATTGCTTTATTATAATTGATACCATGGAAATCTCTTCACACTCTTTATTTTATACGAGTACAATAATTTTTACATGGAATTGAAACTCAAAACATTGAAATAACTTGAAATGGTATATAACCAAAAAAAAAAAAAAGTAAACACAAAAAAGAACCAAATGACATCACTTGGGGAGGGGGAGGGGGAGGGGAGGTGTAGGTAGTAGAAGCTACACCAGGGTGTAGTGTAAAATTTTCAGTCAAGGAATGTCATGCGCTACCTATCTTCCATATATGGCCTAAGACACACTCACATGTTAGGCTAGAGGGTCCTCTTAATTAATAAACTATGATGTTAGAGGGTCATGAGTTGTGTATGAACATTATTTCAAAAGCTTGACATGAACGTGATACATAGGATATACAACGGTTGCATAAGATATTTTCTGCCCACCAACACATCTCTTGTAGTTTTTTTGACAATTTTTATAAAAATATATTCATGTACGATTTAGCCGCTGACAACCCTCATTCCTTTCGAATCCCAAGCCGTTACTCCGTTAGTGTTACTTCTCCTTCTCTCGTGAGTCCCTGTCTCTCTCGTCAACTTTTATGGGTCACAACTTACAAATTCCAGAGTAGACAGTCTAATTGACATCCCAAGCCAAAAATAAATTGGACATATTGGGCTATATAGACGAAATACATGACATTATTATGATGTTATTTTTAGTAAATGTGAGAATGACAATAAACTCCATATCTCACAAATTCAAGCCCTTCCCCATTGTCTGCCACCAATTAGCAGGGATGAATTATGAGGTATCCCATAAGTTTGACAAAATTCCAACTTGGAGAATTTATACCCTCAAATATATAACAACTTGTATTATTATAAAGTCAAAAACAATAACAATAAAACAAAACAGAAAACACTAAGACAATAATAGGACTACAGATTTTTATATATCTCCTTCTCTAACTTTTCTGGGCATTTACACTCAAGAACATGGAATAAAGAATTCAGCTTCTTAAAATGGGTATAAAACAAATATTTACATAATAGCATCATAAAAGGTGATTATATTTCTTTCCCTACATTTATTTCATGCAACTCATACTATATATATCATCATTATTCAAAATCAAGATCTTCTTAGGTGCACATAGATATATATTTGCATTTTGTAGTACTTAATGTCAGTTTATGCATTTAGTTTGAACTCTCTAACTGGCCGTCGTATTCAATTCTAGGACATTATTGATGATCAGTTAGTGTGTGTTCCACAGGGCAGGGTGTTGGAAACTAGTGCTTGAGTGAATGATGGCCGGCCATTACACTGCCAAATCCCCATTACTTGAGCGCTCCATCAATGAGTCTGCAAAGGAACCCGGAGATGTCAACAACGCTTTAACAAGGAAAAGATTTCGACGTAGCAAAAGCACCCCTTTTACAAAGTACAATCCCTCAAAAGAGTCAATTGTCAACATCCATAATGATGATAATCCGAGTCCTCCACCACCATCGTGTAGCCCCAATGAAAAACCTGTCCTTATTCATGTGTTCCTAGCATTGGCCTTGTACCTTAGTGTTGGAACTATTTGCTTTGTCTTAGTTAGGGGTCAGCTCGATGGCAAGAAAACCAATGGTGTTGTTGATGCCCTTTATTTCTGCATTGTCACAATGACCACTGTTGGATATGGAGATCTTGTCCCTGCTACCACTCTGGCCAAGCTGCTTGCCAGCTTGTTTGTTTTCAGCGGGGTGGCTGTTGTTGGTATGATTCTTAGCAGAGCAGCTGAATACATTGTTGAGAAGAATGAAGCACTTGTGGTCAAGGCTTTTCACCTTCAGGATAAGGCCGTCCCCCCTGCTGAAATACTTGAAGTAGTACCCGTGGAAACCAACAGGACTAGATACAAATTTGTGATGGCCTCCATCCTTCTCTTATCGCTTATGACTGCAGGAACGTTGTTCTTGACCTTACACGAAGAAATGGATCTCATTGATGCCTTCTATTGTGTTTGTGCCACGGTCACCACTCTAGGTTATGGGGATGAGAGCTTTGCCACAGCAAAGGGACGACTTTTTGCTGTGTTTTGGATATTGTGCAGCACTATGTGTCTAGCTCAGTTCTTTTTCTACCTTACTGAACTTTATACAGAGAGGAGGCAGAAGACCTTTTTGGATTGGGTTCTTAGCAGGAAGCTTACACTAGCTGACATTGAGGAAGCTGATCTTGATAATGATAACGTCGTGAGGTGAGTTACTACTACTTATTTGGAGGAAGTTTTTAATCTCATCAGTTAATCTCTAAAAATGTTTTATTCAATTTAGTTGATTACTTTATCCTCAAATTTATAATCCATTTCGACTTACTTATACTGATACTAGTGAACCCTGTCTAATCTGTGGGTTAAATCTACGCTATTCAAGTCACTAATACTAGTTTCCTTGCTTCAATTCAAGCTTACTGATGCTTGCAAGTCAAGTATAGTTGATGTTGCTATTAACAGTTACTGTATTTATCTATATAACAGTGCTGCAGAGTTCGTTATAATGAAGCTAAAAGAGATGGAGAAGATCACTGCTGAAGATGTCACCGTTTTGATGGACTGTTTCAGGAATTTAGATGTGGATGATTCAGGAACCCTGACAACAGCTGATATAATAAATTCAGGTTAATCTTACAGGGTATGGAAACAGAATATATTCACAAGCAGAAAAATCTTACATTCTTGCATTTCCATACTTGTGAGAAAAAGGTAGCTTCTACAAAACATTCAATACTTTGGGATACTAGCTTTTATCTGAATTTCTGCTGTCTGGAAGTTATCAGCAGCTTATATATACGAAGTATGATAGACCCTAGTAATCACCTACTTAATGTATGGTTGCCTTCTTTGCTAACTGTCATTCTAAGCTAATGGCTCGGTTTTAACACATAACATGCTAGTAGCCTGGTGGCCATGTTATATTCGACGTTTGGCTTTGTTGTGCATACGATGACTTGTAATTAAGTTACAAACAGGCAAAACCCACCTTGAAGAATTTGTTCTTCTACAAGAATTAGTGTAGGTTATAGTAAGCAGCCACCAATAATTAGAGCAAACCTTGCCTCAAGCTTATGTTATATTAAAAGATGGATAAAAGCTGATCAATAAGAAATACAAATTAAACTAGATGAATCTACAAGCACATAGTATTGGGCAGCTGATAGCCTGTGACAGCCGTGTGAATGTGTTCCATTTTACATGTGCGTGACAATATTAGTTGATGTCACGCAAGACTGATTTTGGGTACACGATATAATTAAGTATTACCAGGCCTTTACTGCAACTCATATCCGGAATATATGTAATCATAATTAGAATTTTACAATCAAGCCAAGGTTTCTCATTCTTTTAACTTCTACAACTACAACCAATCTGGTTAGTTGATGATTCTAGACAATTATAATTAAGCACAAAAGATCATCTAATTAAGGCTTAATTGCTAATTATCAGTGTGACACGAGTTTTACCTAACCTATATCACTAATAGAGGCACCTAGGAAACAAGCTTGACCGCCATTATTGGAGAAGTCCCTTTCAATTCTTGGTTATCATAAATTATTCTATTTGGAGTATAATTAATCTTAATTAGCTACATAAGCCCAATTTCTTAATCAAAGCCCATTGTTGACTCTTAATCACATCAAATATTTGATGTAGATAGTTTTGGGCCACTATTACATATAATGGGGATGTTAATGTTATTGGTAAGATTGGAAACTTCTGTTAGAGCTTTGCCAAATGGCTTAAGTAAAGTAGTTCTTATCTTCAATGTAAATTTAATCAAAATACATCATCATTTATGACTTATACTTTCAAGTAAAGATGAAGAGAATTTTAATTTTTCATGTATTTGTTTTTTTCTTAATTTGACTTTTAAGCCACTTCAGTACAAAATCTATCAATAACCAACAAAAGAATCATAAGGATTCTTCATTATTCCTTGATTTAATGTCATTTTAATGGTTGAATAACAAAGCATGGTTTAAGGAAGGTTTAGCGCTTAAGCAAATATATGTTCTATTCATCAACTTAGTCATAACTCACAGTCCATTACATTTTTGCAACTTTGGGTTCTGATTATTACACTAAATTTGGAAAAGGGAAGGGTATTTAGTGGCCCACGTTAGAGGATAAAGATTTTTGATAAAAAAAAAATGATTGAACTCAAATCGAAGTTGAGGCTCTCTAACGGAGAGCTTGTTATATACACTCGGGTGTACCGTATACCCATGGGTATTTTAATCTCATTTTGATGATTGTTTTTTTTTAATCATCAATATAGAGGAAAATTAACCTTGGATTAGTTGGGTGTATGGTGCACCAAGGTGTATATAACATATTCTACTCTAACGAGATTGTATATTATAACTAGTATTTGAGCCTGGGCGATGCCCTAGGTCATTACTTGTGGTTGATCATTAATATACATTTTAAATTTAATTTAGGACTCAATCTTCTTGTAATAAAATTTGTTATCCATATTTTCATTCAAAATATAACACAAAATATCACGTAACTTGGTGGTAAGACACTCAGTTATAGAATTAATGAGAAACATATGAAAGCTAAATGTGAGCCACACAGTGTCATGATAAATTAAGTGAGTGACGTGGCGTAATGAAGGGTTTTGTTTGACACATTAGGCGTTCCTAGAAACACTTTTTAATCGTAAATAAATTCACAAACTCTGAATTTTTTGAAGTGAGTAAATAAATGAAGATAAATTGAGAAAAACGTGAAATTGAGTAGGAGTGATTAACACTCTCAAAACAAAGGTAATATGATACTAGAAGTTGTTTGGTTTGCGAGAATTTAAGAATCCAAATATTATTTTAGAATATGATAGTAGAAGATAAAAGAAATGATGAGAGAATTGAATTATACCATGGCATATCACAAGGGGGTAGTAACGGTTACTATCATAAGAGGAGGAATTAAGGCTGGTTTAACGGCTTATAATGTGATTAAGGATAGATTATGAAAGGAAAATGAAGGTTTTGAAGGGGAAAGAAAAGGAATTTAAGAAATTATTTGGTGCCACCGATTAATTATAATTCCTTAAAAGCATGGATTTCTCCTGAGCTACCCCCCTTTGTACCCAACTATATTAAGCCCCCTCTTCCACATTACATATTTGATATTTCATACATAATTTATTTTCTCCAAGTTACATACAATAATGATGTTAGGAATGGAAGACCTTAGCTTCATTTCTCAGCCTCAACCTGACCCTGTTGTGTTGGAGCTTAACCACTTGCAAAATCAGCTTAAAGGTGTGTTTCTATTCATAACCTTATTTGCTTGTTATATACGTTTGGGGGCCGGGTTTGATATTCACAATTTTATTTGTCATAAGTTATTAATGAGATGAGACATTTATTTTTATTCTAGAAATTCATTTTATTTCGTAGTAAAAATAATAATAAAAGAGCATTTGGGCAAATAGGGGATGAGGAGATATACCCCATCTCAAAGATGTGAGGATTTTGACAATTACAACATTACAAGGGTTATTATCTTAGAAACCTCCCCAATACAGTAAAAGATATCTGTATTTACTAATTTCCCTAGTTAAAAAAATTCTAAAAAGAAACTTCTTACAACTATGAAGGATATGAAATGCTTTTAAAATAAATTTTTTTTTTTTTGTAATGTGTTATTCTCACAATATTTCTACCATTTAATATAAAGTGCGACATAAACTATCTAATTAAATTGTATATGCAATTAAGAGTAATGATTTTTTTTCCAAAACCATTATAAAGCATATGTTTTTTTCTAGTGAAATACAGTACAAAGTATAAAAGTATGTAACCATGTATCACGACTCTCAAATAGTGGGTCAAATTAGATTGAGTCATGCAAGTATGCAACACATTTTGGTTCTATGCAGCACAACTCACATAGGTTGTGTCATGCGAAGCGTATTGACCCATATAATGTGCCATTTTAACCATTTATTTATTAATTATTTATACAAGTAAAATAATTAGGTTTTATTCCTTCATATCGTGTTAGTCTTTGCAAATCACAATCTAGAAATTAGCCATAGTCCACTGTTGGTCTATGATCGCAGATGCCATTGCCAACTTTATCTCATAATAATGAAAAGGGAATATGGGAAGGAGATCCATTTTAATTCCTCACTTTATGAGTAATAGTGCACAACACATGACAAATGTGGAAGCAAAAGACTTTTCTAGAAGTTTTGTAATTTTGTTTTGGGGTGGCCTGGATTGCTTATATCTTTGGCAAAGAATGATGAGAATGTGATTGTATGACCCCTCCATAGCATTTTAACTAATATGATCTGATATATCATCTAACCTGCTTGGTACTTCATTAGCCATTTTTTTTGTGGGGTGGGGGGTGGGGGGCTGGTACGTAGGCCCAAGCATGAATATCCAATAGGCCATCCAGCCCCCAACCCCCCACGGGTTCCACCCCATGCTCCTCATGAGAATTGATCCCTAGATCCTTTCGGCTTGAGTCGAATCACATCTCTCATTCCTAATTCTCAGTACTTGATTTGCGACTAGACTACAGGTAATGTTAAAATTTAGGTACAAGATCAATTTTATACAAATGAAAAGTGATTTCCTCATTCAAAAAGTAGTTATTTCTGCCAATGAAGATGAAAGAAAATTCTATTTTAGTGACATTAATTAGGTGAAGCGTAACACACATTTTTCAATCACTTCACACAACCAGAATTTGTAACAAACTGATCCTGATTAATCACCTTAATATCAGTGTCAGAACTTCTAAGATGTGTATTACCTGTAACTTTATTAAATCATGCAACATATAGCCTACATGCATTTAAGTTCCATAGCAATATAAGAAGAGTCTGTTAAGATGTAAGTATCTAGGAAACTCAGAAATCGCTGTTTAAAGATGCATTAAGAATAAAAAATGCAACAGATGAAGTCGTCAATAACTAACTATTGCTTTTGACAGATTATATAAGAACCTATTCTATACTTCCTTAAAACAATGCATTTGGTTAGCTATGTCTGATAACCAACATTTTTTTTTGGGTTTTAAACATGGCTTTAGAGAAAGATAATGATTTATGTGCTGCACAAAATGAGATTAAGGCCTTGCGAGCAACTCAAGCACATAAGGAAAAGGCTCTAGATGAGGTATATTACACTCCAACAATTTTGTCATATTATTAATTTTATTCCTGCGGTAGTTTTTCATGATCTTCAGCTAAGTCTATATGCATCATGCATTCCCTTTCTGTTTACTTTATCACTTGTACAGCTCAAAACAAATTACGACAAGTTGGATGAGAAACTGAGAGTAACTGAGAACGCCCTGCAACAAAAGGTATTTATGCTTACTTTCTGATGTTAATAAAGGTTTCATATAAGTGCAAGGAAGCGAGTGAAAGAACTAAATAAGTGAAAATGAATGTATATTGGGAACTGATCAAATGCAGAATCTAGAGATGAAGAAATTAGCTGATGAGAAGAAGGATGCTTTGGCTGCACAGTTTGCAGCCGAAGCAGCCCTTAGGAGGCTACACACAAACCAAAAGGATGATGATTACATACCAATTGATTCGATCATAGCTCCTCTTGAAGCTGACATCAAAATGTACAAAAATGAGGTACTACTTGATATATAAATAATTTTCATAATCAACAGATTGACTGCAAGATAGTTGATTGAGTTTAAGATCTATCTTTATTGGCAGATTGCCTCTTTACTAGAGGATAAGAAAGCTATGGAGCGTCTTACAAAGTCAAAAGAAACAGCTCTTCTTGAGACTGAGAAAATCTTGAGGAGTGCCCTCGAAAGGGCTTTTATAGTTGAGGATGTACAAAACCAAAACCTTGAGTTAAGGAGACAGATAGAAATCTGCCTGGAGGAGAATAAAATACTTGAAAAGACCAACCGTCTGAAAGTTGTAGAGGTTGAAAAGCTAAGCCAGACC